TTCCTCAGAGGAAAAGGCTGTGTTTTGTGATCTGCTATGAGAACAAACGTGTCCTCCAACTCCTTTCTGCTTCAGTATTAGAGTTTTGTTGACTGCCATCACTCGGCTTTCCCATCTCCCCCTCTCCCTCTCCACGCAGACACAGGTGCCAGCAAAGAGCCCTCTATCCATCAGCATCCTGAGGAAATGCAGCAGTGGTGGGCTCGAAGCTGGAGAGAAGGCTGATGTCCAGCTGGGATGCTCTGCTAGCTCAGGGCACCATTCCTCTTTCTTCCTTCAGGCTCTTTCGCTCAATGTAATAGTTTTGCTTTTTCTTGATTAGTCTTTCTAATTGCCTGAGATAACTGTCCCAATTTTTTTACTGCATGGCATTTTGAACTGAAAGTGAATTTCACTTGGAGATTTTTGCAAAATTCATATTTCACAGAAAATGTAAATTGGAGGCCTCAGAAATGTCCCAAAACAACTGAACTTTAGAAGGATCACAGAAAATACATGTTGCTTTTGTTGCAGTCCATTTCAGTTCTTCTGTATCACAGAAATGAGCTGTGTTTAGCTGCACGCAGCCAGTTCCTTCAAAAGAGAGAGCCTTGGGTGGTTGTATTATCAAACAAAAAAATCTTGGCAGAAACTTGCATTCTTAGCACAGCCAAATATTTTGTACCCAAAATATTGTCGTCCTTCAAAACACTTGTGTGTAGCATAACAAAATTACAGATTCCAAGACCCTTCTCATTGCAAATTTAATTTACTTTAGAGTTTGCATACCTAATAGTATTTTTAATATGCATTTCTGGAATTTGTGGTTTGAACTTTAGTCTTCTGAAAAAGAATAACTTTTATATAGGCACCATGTGTTTGGATCTAGGATTATTTTGACTGAAGGAAATGATTTGTCAAGACATTTTCTCTCTAGTATTGCCATGAAAGTTTGTGTTTTCTGATCAATGCTTTTATATTGGATGTCCTTTCAGCATGTCCAATGTTATGCATGCATGTTTATGATGAGTTTGTTGTCTCTAGGAAAGGTATTAGAAAAGAGAGACTTTATTCAATAGGAAGCTTCTGAAGTTCGAGGTCTTTGCATACGTTTTGGATCATTCAGAAGCTTTGTGAGATGGAGTGGAGCTGTTTGCTCTGTTGACAGGGTTAAAAAGAGTCAAGATCCATGAGAAGGAATAAAACAATAATTCCTGTATTACCCCGAAATGCCATAGCAGAGTGTTTTGTCAACTTTTATCTTCACCATCTTTGTGAGTAGTTATTTCTTTAACCTTGTGTCACTGCTTACAGCAATTATGGCATGAAATATCTAATATTTTAGCAAGTAATAGCTCTGTATGACCTGCTTTGTAAGTAAATATTTAGGTCTGTGTTAAAATCTTCATGGTGTTTGTAATAGAAATGGACTTTTTCTCATTTGAGGTTGACACTATGTTGTATGTAGATAGTAAGAAGTGAGTAGTCTGATGTGGGAAAGTGCATAAAGAAAGTCTTTGTAAACTCTGATGTATCCATTCAATTGGTCTGTTGGTGTAAATGGAAAATTGCTCAATATCACACCAGAATTGCAGGACACCCTGCTGAAGTGCAGCATATATGCTGTCTGTGCCATCAGTTTGATGAAGATGGCTGATAAAGTGGGGGCGATTCAGAGAATAGACACCCAGTACACAAATACTCAGCTCACTAACGCATCTGTCTAAGGCTTTTTGTACTGGTTTCAAACTCCCAGGGAGCTGAAGAGCTCCCTGTCTGGGGAGCAGCATTGATCAGGGAGCCCTGTGTAATCAAAGGCCAGCCAGCCTGGAGAGAGAGAGAGCACTCCATCCCCCCGTGCTTGCTTCAAAGGGAAGAGTCTCTTCTGAAGGTTGCCAGTCAGAAAGCCTGATGGAGGCGCAGGATGAAAAACTGCTCAAAGACTAAATGTAGGGCAGCCACAACAAGGAAGAGAAGAAGAGCTGTACCCTCAGGAGCTGGAGCCTCATGGATCAAAGATAGCTGCCGTGGTAGTGACAGCAAAGGAACTGAGCTCCGCCCAAACACGGGTTGATGACCACTTTCATTCTGTCATGTGAATACTGTCAAAAATCTACACTTGTAGAAAGAGAGGGGGCGGAGAGTCTAAAAAGGAGCAAATTAAACTGTTCTCACTGTCACTCTTCGGAGCCAAACATTTGCAGTGTTTCATACTCAGAGGTGGTGTGACAGGAGCAATTGCATGGGCTCCATTGACATCACTCCCAAAGACTGGAACAAGGTGTTGTCAGGGGGGCGTGTTTTATCAAGAAAGGAAGAGTTTGCTCGGAAGCAGCAAAGTCATCAAGCTTCTAGAAGCAGTTAAGAGGAAACAGATGTAAAGCATCACCTTCACATTTAAAATTAAAATGCAGTTTTATAAAGTCTTAACTGATTTTAATGATAATTGGGGAAAAATGAAACAAGTATTTTGTTTGAGCTAAAGTTTCTCTATATTAGTTACAACCCAGTTATAGAAGTATTGAAAACTCTGAAGTGAAACAAGCTAGAAACAGACTTTATACTATAATGAATCTGATTTATTTTCATTGGATGAATTGTAAAGGATTATTTGCTGGTCTGGTGAAAACACATTACTTAGGATTCTCTCCATTGCTGACCTCAGGCAGGGATTCTAGCATGTTTAGGCTGGACTCCTTGCTTCTGCTGAGTAGTAATTTACCCCTCATTCCTTAAACCCCGCTGTGTACCTGTGTCCAAACTGTGCATCCACTCAGTTGTAGATCCTACTTTCCTCCCACTCTGGGAAAGGAAGGAAAGAAATGAAGAAGGAATGGAGGGAGAAGCACTCAGACCCTTTGAGAAACTCCTCTATGTTTCAGTGGAAGCCATGAAGACTCCATTTCCCTGGAAACAGTTCATTAGTTTTAACTGGGCATCATCCCCATTGATTTCCCTCTCAGCTGCTACAGGAACCATCATTCCATGGATATTTCTTTCTGAGCTTCCTCATTAGTCTTGCTCCAGAAGCTCAGGGAGCCGATCACTGCTGATCACTGCCAGTCCATAGGTTTGGAGTTGGACTGAGCAACTACAAATAATGTTTTCCTTCATTTTACAGGTGAATCGCCCTCACCCTGGTGATCATCCCCTTCTGATCATCTTTATGGTTGGTGGAGTGACAGTCTCCGAGGTCAAAATGGTGAAGGACCTGGTAGCAACACGCAAGCCTGGTACCCAGGTAAAAGCAGCTCTAAATGTACTGTTCCTATCTTAGAACAAAGACTAATGAAATTAAGCAGATAGTGTTCACTATAACACTGGTACCAAACCTACATGAAGCCACAGCCACATGTACAGGAATGGTGTTAGGATTTTGCTGTGAAACATCTGTAGGCAACAAGCGTTGAGGCACCAAGGGTCTGTCTTTAACATGTTAGAGTCAGCAATAAAAGTTCAAACTCAGGTTGGAGAGTCCAGAACAGACCACCATTATTCTGAAGGAGCTTTCATCATGTCTCAAAAGATTCATTTCTTGGTATTATTTAAAAACAGAAACATTTTCTGTCCAAAAGGCTACAGGCTCCCTGGCAGTGCATCTACAGGACATAGTGCAGGTATGCTCAGAAGAAGCATGCCAATGGTCTGGGTACCATCTAGTGAAGTATCAGTGGTGATCCTGCAGATAAGTGCAGATACCTGGCTGCTAGATGCCCTAAGTAGCCTGAATCAGGAGATGTGAAGAAAGCCCCAAGTCTCTGCAGCCATTAGATGTGCTGTCGGACTCCTGGAAGGAGGATGGCTTCTGTTGTGAACTTCAGCAGCGCCCGTGCAACTGGTCTTTGCCTCTTCCATTCTCTGGCAGCAGAACTTGACTACCACAGCTGTGGTGTCATCTGAGATGCTAAAAATCACTATTAACTGTGGAGGAACTTGTACAAGAGCAATTGGGTATCTGCTGAGTAGTGCAGATATACAGGGTATTCTAAAAACTACAAAAAAGTGTTGTGTAACAATTGCATCATAAACATAAGTCTAGTTTCCAGGGTGGCTTGTAAACATCGTGTTTTCAGTTCCTATGGAATGCCGTTTTGATTAGTGAGAAATCATTAGCAAAATGGAGCCAACCAAAGGCTGAGCAACCCCTGGGTTTGACATGTGCTTTCCACATTTTAGTTGTCTTTGCAGGGCCATCTCAAGCGGTGTTTGGTAAGACAGAGTGCCATTTTTAGCGATGTTTTTTTGATCTCATAATACATTTCTCCTCAATTAGCCTATTGCTAATCTCTTCAAAGCAGCAGATAAAATTCCTTCCCGTCTTGAAGGGGGATTGAATCATGACACACTGATGGACAAGTTAATCCACACCCAAAATGTATTAATACACCCTGAAAGATAAGCAGAGAGTTAACACGTGAGTTGGTTGAGAACTATGCAGGGGGACTTTTGACCAGCTTTCTATAGGGACTTGAGGCTTGACAGTGGTGACATGGGATCTGGTGTTGCTTTGCTTTGGCTTAACCCTGGTGGCAGGTCACCCTCTGAGGCAGATTCCTAAAGGATTTTAAGCTTTTACTGCATCTCGCCCTTTGTCCGAATGTGCTGAGTTAGAGGTGAAAGGACTTGGGGGTAGAGGCGGGAGGAGGAAGAGAAAGAAGAAAAGCAGTTATGCAAGTATTTCATATAAAAAAAGTTCATGAGTTTGTTGGATTTACCTGGATTTCTGCACTATGGCTGTGAATATGTGCCACCTGTTTGGGATTATTCTCTTTTCAAAAAGCCAGGCATTTGTCTAACTCGAGCCAGCATTTAACAGAGCTTTTTTGTGGTGTTCAGGCAATCAGGTTCAGGCGTCGGGGGAATGCTGGCCTCCCGAGTCCCTTCCAGTCAAACAAAGCACTGACATTTATACTAATTATTGGCTTTTGGAGAAATGGAGAGACACGTGGGTGCAAAAACAAAGAACTGAGGAAAGCAACAGAAAAACTGACAGAACGCACTGATTACTGCAGCAGTTATTTGGAGTTGAGGCAAATGACATTTAAATGTGGAGTAGGAGACACATGTTTCCATCCACAGAACTGCTCTGCATCTGAATATGAATGACAGATTTATTTCTCACGGAGGAGCACAGGAATACAGCATTTGTTTTTGGATGGTGGTGAACAGCTCACCTAACCTAGTGAGAAGTATCCTACTTTCAAAGGAAGAAATTACCTTTTTTTTTTTTTCCACTTTAATCAGGAGAGTAAAAAAAAAGGGGAAAGAGCATGAGTGGATGTTTCACCCTCCCAACATGCACAACCATCTGTGTGGTTGTGGCTGAGGCAGGCAGACAGATAAACCCTTCCAGATGCACCATCAGATGTTAGCTCCATCCTTCCCTGCCCTCTGCTGAGAAGGAACTGCCCATTACAGCACAGTGGGCCGGGACGTGAGCTCCTGGCTCCTCAGCTGCCATCGGGAGGGACAGCCCTTCACGTGAAGCGTCAAAGACAGGCATGCTGTACTGAGCAAGGAGAAGGTCTGCAAAGGATATACACTGTCCTGAAGATACCTGCCTGGAGAAGTGATGGACATTACTCATCTGGGTAGTTCCCCCTTTCTTTGTAAAAATGAAGGAAAAAATATTCACATTTATGCCTCTCAGAGAGCCCTCAGAGTACTGGGGGGGAAAGGAGGGAAATCCCACTGTATTTTGCTTCATCCTGTCTCAGATGTTAAAGTTTTAGCTTTCATTTTTCTCTCTGGGCTTGCTATTAGTTGCACAAATCCCCTCAGGGTTCAGTGGTGGGACTCCAAGAAGAAATTGCTTTTATCTGGCAGTGGCTATTGTTGATGTTTGGCTTGTACACCCAGAAAATTTTGGTAACGTGTCCCCTCATGTTTTTCAGAATTAAGCTGTGTGATAACAAAATGAGCACATAGTGTGCTATAGTCTTATCGTCACGTAACATAAGTAAGACAGTGTCAGCCTTTGGCATCTGCAAATTACAGAGGGTTTTTCATCCATAGGAAGGAGAAGAGATAATCACTGTCAGTTTGCCGCAGATTGTGTGGGAGGACAAGGGAAGGGGAGAAGTGAGAGGGAGGCTATCATCAGTACAGAAGGGATCTGTAGTAACTTAACTCCAGATTCCTTTCATTATTTGAAGTGAAAAGATGAAAGAAGGAACAACAAAAAAAAGTTGAAATGTAGCACTACTGCACATTTAAGCCTGCGTGCGATGAAGAGCGCGAGTGGTTTGATAGCTACTGCAGGAACCAGACAGACATTTTTGATGCTTGTGCTGCTTCTCCTCAGATTTGCACTGAAGAAGCAAATTTGTGTTCAAGTGGGCTACTGAGATAAATCTGCCCCCACGTCCCAGCCTGCAGTCCTGAGCCTACAAACACTACTGAACTTGGGGCTTTGTAAGAGCAGTGTCCTACAGCTTTGACCCTGAGTTAGCTCCACACAGCAAGAGCATACGCACTTCCTCCTTGCTGATAGCTTTGCCCTGCAGAGAAGCCTTCACGCTAGGCACCTGCATGCTAGTTTTCACTTAAGAAAATGCAGATACCTACATCTAGCAGGGTGTGTGTCATGGCTGTAGTGAGCAATGGTTTCATTCATTAGACCTGTCTTGGATTAAATGTTTGAAGAAACAAAAGTGATAGCATCCTGACAGCGCTCGAGGTTAAGCTTTAGTCTTTAAATGTGCAGAACAGCCTGTGCCTGACCTGAAGAGACGTTTCTGAACAGGGACTGTAGCTCCCCACAGCAGGCTGGCAGCACTTCTGTGGTGCTCACCTTACCTTCAACTGGGAGGAAACAGCCATCACTCAGAACTGTGTATGGGAAAGGAACCCCTGCTTCATCAGCTGGTGCCTCACAGTAGACACAGTGGCAGTCACAACAAATCACCGGGTAAGATGTGGGTAGAAATGAGTCAAAGCACACATTCATTAAGGGTACAATGCTACCAGTCATTATGCTCCTTAAAGTGATTTAACTACAGTTATTAGCAAGCAGTTTCACTGAGCAAGTTGTATTGCCCTGTCAGTAAACACCAGAAACACACAGCCTGTGTGAAGCCAGCAGTTCACAACTATGGCTCATTAGTACTGTGAGTACTATTGGTCTCAGTCCCCTTCATTTTGACTTTATGTTTCTTTGTCCCCTTCTTTCAGGTAATCGTGCTCTCCTCTGCACTCCTGACACCACATAGTGCTGTTGAGTTGTTGTTTGCCGCAGACCGTCTCCAGCCTGACACCGATATCTGATGAGGGAGGATCTGTGGAGAAGATGAGTGAGTGCTTCAGCTGGAAACATCAAATCCCTGGTCTGTCACTCTTCCCAGTAGCCTTCCAAAAATTGACATGTCCCCTGCTGCAGGTACAGCTCCAGCTGAAATGGGGTGAAGCAGCTGGGTGTCTGGCTGCAAGGCAGCACGGGCAGCTCACAGGCAGCTCTTCAAAATGGTCCAGTTGTCCAGCAACAACTCCCCTATCCTTAAGAGTAACACTCTGTGGTGCTGAATCACCCCAGCCTGGCTCTGCGTGGCAAGGATGGTCGCTTGTGATAATTCCCTACAAAAGGAGCAAGTGAGGACCAGGTGATGCTGAATTTGCACTCCTCAAGCAGTTCGTTTTTTCTCTTAAGTATTCCTGATGGTTTTGCTGGGATTGCTTCTGGTGGGAAATGCTGCTGAGGGAGTGAAAGGCTAACAAGATCCACCCTCTCCATCATGTTACCTTGCAAAACATGTGTGCCTTATACAGCATAACCATCTCTGCTCTTACTTTGTCCCTCAGCCCAGAGAGGTCATGGAGCACAGCCCTGCTTTACTGGCAGAGCAGCTCCCAGTGCGGTGATGCTTTCTGGGTGGGACTGGTAGAGGCAGAGAAGCAGAAAGCCAGATTCAAGCTCTGGGTTATGTGGCTGCTTCTCTCTCAGCTTCTCGTTTCCTGCTCTAGTTTCTCCACCCACAGTCCCAGGAAAAAAAGACTATTTCTGATGGCACACTTCTCTGTAGGTTTACGTAGGCAGACATATGGGCTGTGATAGTTTTATGATAACCCTGAAAGAATCCTTCCCTCACATTCATTTTAAAAAGAAAAAGAGTAAAAGCACGATCCCATTTTCAATAAGCCGCAGAGACAGATTCTTTCTTGAGCTAGATTTCTGAACAGCATGATTGGAGAACAGCTTTTATTTTTAATTTATGATCATGAAAGAGCTGCTATCAGATTCAGTTATGTAATTTTTCTTTATAAAACTTTGCTACAGTCTGTGATAAAAAAGCAGCAGCCAGTAGACTCTGATTAGCACCAAGACTTCCAAATTGCAATGTAAAATGGTGGAGCTCTAAAGCTGTATCCTCTTGCTTCATCCAAGGGATGCCAAGCCTACAGCTTACACTGAGATGAGAATGTGAAATTTTAAGTGACATTCACTCTATCATAGCATTCTTTATTATGCCAAAGGAGTAGATTAAATGGGAAGTAGCTTTTTAACCTTTGTTCACTAGCTAGCTTAAGTTCTGTTAAATGTTTATAATGTTCTTCAGAAAAGGGTGCATTTTGATTTAAAGTTACTTCTGAGTGGCTGGAAGGAAACAATGAACCCATTATAAAGCATGGACAATGTCGCCTCTGTGGAAGAGAAATTTGTAAGAATGACTATAGAATGGAACGTTGTGCTATAAAAATGAGAAATATTATGAAATTGCAATGTTAGAAGCTCAAGAAATAGTTTGAACAGAGCAACTGGAAAGCAAATAGCCAGTCTCTTGGTTTCTTTTCTGTCCTTCTGTACTGTTTAATCTTAGTATATGAATGTTTTGTAAATTCTGTAATCAATAAAGCAATGCTCTTACAATGCCAAACCTCATCCCTCTTCTCCTTCTCTCCTAGTACACAGGCCTGCACATACCAGGACTGCATATGCCTGCAACTCCTTTTTCTTTAGCATTATTTGATTGCCTCTAAGAACCTTGACCTTTTCCTCCTGGGAGGTGTCCTAGAGGGGTTCCCATGCCCTGCTGGTAGCAGAAATGCTCTGCTACATCCAGTGGCCATTGCTGGCCAGTGAGTTCAGGCACTCACACCTCTGAGGTGCTGCTGCTTTCCTGAGATGATGGAGGCTGGCAGTTGTGGTCTTCTCTCCCTCATGATTTCATCAGATGCTCTCAAGTCTCTGACTTGGCCACCTACGGACATACTGTATATTATAGTGAGAAGTGTGGCAGGGGGGTGAGTCTAAGCAGACACTGATGCTCTTGCACTTCCTACGGGTCAAGTAGCTCCTCTGACTGAGGCAGAGACTATTTTTCGAGGCCCACACTTTGCAGGAAACTTTTCATCCAGTGGGGCCACAGCTGTGGCAATGGATGCTGGAACTCAGCCACCATCATACTCAGTAGCTCAAGAGATGCAAGAAGATGGTCACAAAAGCCTGTTCCTTTTCTAGACCAAGGCTGGAGTGGAGTCTTTCCAGTGCCCCTAGTGTAATAGTTAGCTTCTTATCTGTAAGAAATAGCTGTAGTAGCTACTCATAGCCTGTGCTGAGGGAAAAGGCCAGGGGGGGTGAGAGGTCTCCTGCTAGTCACATATGAGCAGGAACAGCACAAGAGACTCTGCGTGGGCAGGTGCAGGACCACAGCAAGGAGTGCCTAAGCCCTCTGCATATGACACTAGACAATACTCAAAAGGGAGGAGGAGGAGAAAACACAAAGCCATCCTCAACAAATGAGTTTACTACTATATTAATAAGCTGAGCAGTATTTGGTAATAAACTCAGACTAAGGGGACAAGCTCAGTTCCTTTTGCAAGTCTTGTCCTAAGTCACTTGGCTAGTAGCTCATAGTCAAAAAGACTGTCTTCAGCAGG